TGTGCTAAGCTAGTGAGTCATAAGAAGTTTCTATTGCCATTTACTTCCATTGGCTTAACAGTGATATCAGAGTGGTGCTTATGCTTTATCTTTAATAGCAGTAAAAGTGAAGAAATTTGGAGAGGTACATTCCCATGGGCACATTTCAAAGACTAACAAGTATTATTTTAATTCAGTACACTTCCAAAACTAGTTGCTTCCTACTCTCTCTTGCCTTAATCATCTTCAAACTCAAATTTCTCAAATATTATTGTGTAACATATTCTCTAACATTTAAACATACTCCCTGATCACCCCTCTTGAGAGTAAATTTTCAAACCTTTCTGACTCTACTGTTGAACGTTCATTAAACAAGCACTTACTGTATACAAGCCCTTTGCCAGTAATTTACTATGTATTGGAAATCTGTGAGGGTGGCCCTGGTTTTTAGGTAGGAAGTCATATACAGGAAGCCAAAATGGTTGGTGAAAAACTGGAGGTAGGGGCAGGGAATCCCTAAAATGTGGAGATTTAAGAGCCAGAGTAAATTAGATACTAGAATATATGAGGTGAGTTTTCTATTGAAAAGAATACAGGAATTCATAAAATACCTGATTGGTCATTGCCTTCCTGCATCAATCTGGATTCAATAATTCTGGGCAGGAATTGTTCTCTTTTGAAGGAATCTTGGTAATAAGTTTGTAATAATTAATATTATGTGTGTGTCCTATTTAAATATAAGACAGATGCAAAAATAAAACACAAGATCTTACATTATAACGAGTTAGTTCCTGTTTAAATATTAAATGAAAGATTATCTTAAATAATAAATGTCCCACCATCAGTCTAACTAAATTATGAGTCTCTTTACAAAATACACATTATTAACAATATCTTATAAGGCATAATTATTGTATATTATATTTAGTTTATCAAATATTTTATATAATTGACATTTTTCTTTGTGCATTTAATTATAATCTCAAAATATTAAAATCTGATTTAGTTTCTTATTCTTCATGGAATTATTTTTATGTATTTTCATAAGGATAACTTCCTACAAGTATGATTTATTACTATCATCCACTGTAACACCTTTATGTTTTCTATTATAAGTAGTTTAGTATGGCAAATTTTAATCAGCAAATATAGCCCATGAGCCAAATGCAGCTTGCCACCTCTTTTGCTATGACTTGTGAGTTATTAATGGCTTTTTATTTTTTAAATTTTAGAAAGTTTAAAAGACAAATAGTACTTTGTGACACAGAAAATACATTTAGGTTTATACTTATGTTTTATAAAACCTGTTTTAAAATGTTATAAATCATATTCAAACTGAAACATCAGAGACACTATCAACTGTTATTTCACAGAGAAACTATTATTTCACAGAGCTGCACATTTAGAAGGGAATTTTTTTCCAAAGCTATATAATTAGATAACAACAATTCAGAAAACTGTGAGACACATTTTCTGATTTAAATAAAGCATTCTGATTGCTGTATCATCCTATATTTTTATCTTCAAATAATTTCTATACTTGAAAGAAAATCACTCATTAGAAAACATAAATTAATTGATGGTCAATTGACAGAAAAGATTTCTTTTTTTTTTAAAGAGAATTATTTTATTTATTTGCAACAGAGTTATAGAGAGAGGTAGAGCCAGAGAGTGAGAGGTCTTCCTTCCGCTGGTTCGCTCCCCAAATGTCCGCAACAGCCAGAGCTGAGCTGATCTGAAGCCAGGAGCCAGGGACTTCTTCCAGGTCTCCCATGTAGGTGCAGGGACCCAAGGACTTGGGCCATCTTCTACTGGTCTCCCAGGCCATAGCAGAGAGCTGGAATGGAAGTGGAGCAGCCGGGACTCGAACCGGCACTCATATGGGATGCCGGTGCTACAGGCTGGGGCTTTAACCCACTGTGCCATGGCGCCAGCCCCAGAAAAGGTTTCTAAAATAGTTTTTCCTTATTCATTTCTTTCTATGCTAGTTAAATATCTTATGAAGTGCCAAAATTAAAATTTTATTAACAAATAAATAACAAGGGTGAAGTCTCTTAATAAATTAGTTTTCTCCATTTATGCAAACATTTTCTAGAGAATTTATAAATAATATAATGAGGGTATTTGTCCCTTTGGGATTGGCTTATTTCACTCAACATAATGTTTTCCAAATTCCTAACAGGGATCACTTTTCAGTTAAAATTTAAACACCTAAGAATAATTGTGTGTTAATTACAGAGTTCAACCAATGGTACCAGAACAAAAAAAAAATACTAAAATGGATAAAGTATTACATTATACATCAACCGTCAGGACAAGAGCTGATCAAGTCACTGTTTCTCATAGTGTCCATTTCACTTCAAAAAGTTTCCCCTTTGGTGCTCAGTTAGTTGTCGCCAATTAGGGAGAACATATGATATTTGTCCCTTTGGGACTGGCTTAATTCACTCAGCATGATGTTTTCCGAATTCCTCCATCTTGTTGCAAATGACTGGGTTTCGTTGTTTTTGACTGCTGTATAGTATTCTATAGAGTACATGTCCCATAATTTCTTTATCCAGTCTACTGTTGATGGGCATTTGGGTTGGTTCCGGGTGTTAGCTATTATGAATTGAGCTGCAGTAAACATTAATGTGCAGACAGCTTTTTTGTTTACCAGTTTAATTTCCTTTGGGTAAATTCCAAGGAGTAGGATGGCTGGGTTGTATGGTAGGGTTATCTTCAGGTTTCTGAGGAATCTCCAGACTGACTTCCATAGTGGCTTGACCAGTTTGCATTCCCACCAACAGTGGGTTAGTGTCCCTTTTTCCCCACATCCTCGCCAGCATCTATTGTTGGTAGATTTCTGAATGTGAGCCATTCTAACTGGGGTGAGGTGAAACCTCATTGTGGTTTTGATTTGCATTTCCCTGATTGCTAGTAATCTTGAACATTTTTTCATGTGTCTGTTGGCCATTTGGATTTCCTCTTTTGAAAAATGTCTATTGAGGTCCTTGGCCCATCTCTTAAGTGGGTTGTTTGTTTTGATGTTGTGGAGTTTCTTGATCTCTTTGTAGATTCTGGTTATCAACCCTTTATCAGTTGCATAGTTTGCAAATATATTTTCCCATTCTGTCGGTTGCCTCTTCACTTTCCTGACTGATTCTTTTGCAGTACAGAAACTTCTCAATTTGATGCAATGTTGAGTGAAATAAGCCAATCCCAAAGGGACAAATACCACTTGTTCTCCTTGATAGGTGACAACTAACTGAGCACCAAAAAGGAAACCTGTTAAAGTGAAATGAATATTATGAGAAACAGTGACATGATCAGCCCTCACCCTGACTGTTGATGAGCAGCTTAATATGTTATCCCTCTTAGTATTTTTTGTTTGTTCTACTTAATATTTTTGGTTGAATACTGTAATCAATACACAATTCTTCTTAAGTGCTGAAACTTAACTGAAAAGTGATCCCTGTTAAATATAAGAATGGGAATAAGAGAGGGAAGAGATGTACAATTTGGGACATGCTCAAGCTGACTTACCTCAAACAGTAAAGTTAGAAACATACCAGGGGATTCGAATTCAATCCCATCGAGGTGGCATGTACCAATGCCATTTCACTAGTCCCAGTGATCAATTTCTGTTCACAATTGATCATAATGATAGGACTAAGAACCAAAGGGATCACATAAACAAGAATAGTGTCTGCAAATACTAGCTGATAGAATCAAAAAGGGAGAGAATGACCCAACATGGGAAGTGAGATACACAGCAGACCCATAGAATGGCAAATGTCCTAACAGCACTCTGGCCTCAGAATCAGCCCTTAAGGCATGCAGATCCAGCTGAAATGCCCATGAGAGTATTTCAGGCATGGAAAGCCAAGACACTCTGGGGGAAAAAAAAAAACCTAAATGAAAGATCTCCACGAGTGAGATCCCAGTGGAAAGAATGGGTCATCAAAGAAGGAGGTACCTTTCTCTGAAGGGAGGAGAAAACTTCCACTTTGACCATGGCCTTGTCTAAAAATGATCAGAGTCAGTGAACTCAGGGGGCTTCCATAGCCTTGGCAACTCATGACAAGAGCCTAGGGTGATTACTGATGCCATAAACAAGAGTGTCAATTTGTTAAGTCAACAACAGGAGTCACTGTGCACTTACTCCTCATGTAGGATCTTTGTCCTTAGTGTGCTGTACATTGAGATCTAATGCTATAACTAGTACTCAAACAGTATTTTTCACTTTATGTTTCTGTGTGGGAGCAAACTGTTTAAATCTTTACTTAATATATGCTAAACTGATCTTCTGTATATAAAGAGAATCGAAAATGGAAGGGGAGAGGGAGTGGATAAGGGGAGGGTTGTGGGTTGGAGGAACGTTATGGGGTGGGGAAGCTATTGTAATCAATATTCTGTACTTTGGAAATTTATATTCATTAAATAAAAGTTTAAAAAAATCTCAAAAAAAAATAATATAATGAGGTTCATTTTAAAATATTTTATATTTTTAGATGGTTTTATCTACTTAATTCGACATCATAGTATTTCATATGGATGCCATCATTTCACTTACCATTGGCATAGTAAAGTTCCTTTGACTACATCATGTATTATAGAATTTTCTTCTATGTCCAAAAAAATGTTGACAGGATTGATCAATTTTTATGTTTTCCATTGTTATTTGTGATATGATCATATACATCTGTTGCTATATCTCTACCTGATAGATTTATCTGAAATTAATTTTTGATTCTGCCTGAATCAAATAAAATATTACTTCTCACACTGCATATCAAAGAAAGAATGAAAAGATACACTTAATCATTTACTGTGAGAACAATTGCTTTCCTCATTTTTGTCTGCTTATTAATTACTGAATAGTGATTAACATTGAAACAATATTTCTGCTTCCATACATACTTACTAAATAATTTTTCATTGAAATTTTAACAAGTTAATACAAGACATACTGTTTCCACACACTCCTTCTTAATTTTATATAATTAACAACTACCTTTTTCCTTTTTCTGTTGTTTCAGTTAAAGGATCAAGAAAGTTAAGTCTGCCAACAGATCTTAAGGCTGATCTTGGTACGGTAGGCAAAAGCCAACAATTTTCAGTTTTCTTACATTCATTTGGCTGAACATTTTTACCAACCAACCCATGAACAACACAATTTTCCTAAATAGCAGTATATGATAGTTTTACAAAAAAGGCTCTCTTAAAAATCACCATACAGTTCTGTTGGCAGCATTCAACATTTTGTTTGTTAATAGTCATTTTACAAAATTGTTTTCAAGTCATTACATACCAAGGTATGTAACATTTTATTTTCTTTGTATCATGAAAATGTTTTAAAACATTGACTACAACCATGTAAAAAAGTATGGTTTGCTAAGTTATTTTTCCTATTTTGTATGTAGGTAGCATTTAGAACTAACACTGTTTAAACAATGAACAAAAAGTCTGATATGTGAAAGAGTACAGTTCTTGTCATTTTTTTATTTTAGGGAAGTTATAGAAAATTTGATTTATTTTTAGTTTATTTTTTGTAGTGGCCACAGGCTAATTCATAAGTCTAACTGAAAAAAGAAGGCCTTATCAAATAGTACCTTCATAAATTGATTTCTTTCACAAATTTTGTCCGTAAGTTTCAGTATGAGTTGCTTTTTTGCTTTCTCATCGTTAAAAAATTTCACTGGATAACCTTATTTTAATTTCCTTTACCCTGACTTAAAGCCATAGCATTAAGCCCTAATAATTTCATGGTTAAAACAATGAAAATACACTAGTTTTTGCATTGTTCTTCAGAGTTTAAAAATCAATTTCATATTATTTTATATGTTGAGCATCCTTAGCCTAAAAGCCCCAAATATAAAACTAAAAAAGTTGTGAATTCTGGAACCTTTTAGGTTACATATTTTCATATTACTGTTTAAAAATGGATAATGTTTATTCAAATATTCCTTGAAAAAAACTGCAAAATCTGAAATACTTCTATTCTGAAGCTTTGGAAAGGAGAAACTCAAACTGTATTTGATTTTCTTAATAATACTTTAAGTTTCCTGTCAATCTTCCCAATCATTTTTTACCCAGAGTGGAAATTTAGATTATGTTATTAATAAATGGTGGATTCAAAATTTGAACCCAGGTCACAGATTATGGTATGAAAGTTTACAGAGCATATTCACATATCTTATCTCATTGTAGCTAAAATAACTGTTATAGCACATCATTTTTTACATTTAAAATGCAATTATATATAATTTATTGATTTGATTAAATAAGACCATTATAGTACTTAAAAAGTTTTATTTTTTATTTATTTATTTATTCAAGTGAAACAGAAAAATGAGTTCCCATTGCTTGTTCACTCCTTAGACACACAGAACAGTATAGAGGCTCAAGCTGGGAGCTTGAAATAAAATCCAGGTCTTCTAGGTGAGGGTCAGGAATCCAGCTACTTAAGTTATCACCACTATTCCCCAAGTCTGCATTAGGAAGAAGTTGGAATCAGTAACAATAGCTGGGAATCAAACCCATGTACTCATAAGTGGGTCACAGGCATCCTAACTATTGTCTTAACTGCTAGTCCAAATCCCCACACCAATTACAGTATTTTTAAATGGAAAGCACTAACATATTAGTTATTGTCATTAGTTAAATATTAAATAAAGTTTTATATCATTGCAAATATAATTGATGTGACATTAACAGGCCTTATAATACCATTTACTGACCTCCTACTATGTGTCAGTTACTGTATCATATAATTTGTACATAATTATATAAAATAAGGTAGGTGATATTCTTCTCACTACACAAAACAACCAAGAAAATTTATGAAAAACTAAGTTCCTAATGTCACAAATATACAAGTGAAACAAATTTAAATAAAATCTGTATGATTTTCCCGTTTTTATTTTAAAATATTTCAGATAATACAGAAAAGTGTAAAGGACAGTTCAATGACCACAGATATATTTAATAATTACTAAAATTTTACTATATTCATTTCATACATAAATGCTATATAAACATATTTACTATTTTGCTTAGAAATAGAGGTATTAGGCTCCTGGATTCGGATTGGTGCAGCGCCAGCCATTGCGACCACTTGGGAATTGAACCAATGGAGGGAGGACCTTTCTCTCTGTCTCTCTCTCTCTCACTGTCTAGAACTCTACCTGTCAAATTAAAAAAATGAGGTATTAATATTGCATATGTAGGATTCATGACAGATTATAAAGTTAGGAAAGAAGGGTATATTATATAAAGGGTATAATTCAATAAAAACAACACGTATAACCTCTTTTATACCAAATAATGTCATTTAACATTTTTATTCTATCTATATTTATGTATTTCCACTCCCTCTGCCATTCCATTCGCATCAAGATTGATTTTCAATTATCTTTATGTACAGAAGATTGATTTAGTATATATTAAGTAAAGATTTCATCAGTTTGCACCCACACAGAAACACAAAGTGTAAAATCAGTACTAATATAATATTACTTCACATTGGACAACACATAAAGGACAGATCCCACATGAGAAGTAAGTACACAGTGACTCCTGTTGTTGACTTAACAATTTGACACTCTTGTTTATGGCGTCAGTAATCTCCCTAGGCTCTAGTCATGAGTTGCCAAGGCTATGGAAGCCTTTTGAGTTCACCAACTTTGATCTTATTCCGACAGGGTCATAGCCAAAGTGGAAGTTCTCTCCTCCCTTCAGAGAAAGGTACTTCCTTCTTTGATGGCCCCATTCTTTCCACTGGGATCTCACTCACAGAGATCTTTCATTTAGGTCGTCGTCTTTTTTTTTTTTTCCAGAGTGTCTTGGCTTTCCATGCCTAAAATACTCTCATGGGCTCTTCAGCCATATCCAAATGCTTTAAGGGCTGATTCTGAGGCCAGAGTGCTATTTAGGACATCTGCCATTCTATGAGTCTGCTGTGTATCCTGCTTCCCATGATGGATCATTCTCTCCCTTTTTGATTCTATCAGTTAGTATTAGCAGATACTGGTCTTGTTTGTGTGATCCCTTTGACTCTTAGACCTATCAGTGTGATCAATTGTGAACTGAAACTGATCACTTGGACTAGTAAGATGACATTGGTACATGCCACCTTGATGGAATTGTATTGGAATCCCCTGGCACGTTTCTAATTCCACCATTAGGGGCAAGTCCGATTGAGCATGTCCCAAATTGTACATCTCTTCCCTCTCTTATTGCCACTATTATATTTAACAGGGATCACTTTTAGTTAAAATTTAAACACCTAAGAATAATTGTGTGTTAATTACAGAGTTCAACCAATAGTACTAGAGCAAAACAAAGAAAAATACTAAAATTGATGAAGTATTACATTGTACATCAACAGTCAGCACAAGAGCTGATCAAGTCACTGTTTCTCATAGTGTCCATTTCACTTCAACAGGTTTCCCCTTTGGTGCTCAGTTAGTTGTCGCCAATCAGGGAGAACATATGATATTTGTCCCTTTGGGACTAGCTTAATTCACTCAGCATGATGTTTTCCAAATTCTCCATCTTGTTGCAAATGACCTGATTTCATTGTTTTTGACTGCTGTATAGTATTCTATAGAGTACATGTCCCATAATTTCTTTATCCAGTCTACTGTTGATGGGCATTTGGGTTGGTTCCAGGTCTTAGCTATTGTGAATTGAGCTGCAATAAACATTAATGTGCAGACAGCTTTTTTGTTTACCAGTTTAATTTCCTTTGGGTAAATTCCAAGGAGTGGGATGGCTGGGTTGTATGGTAGGGTTATATTCAGGTTTCTGAGGAATCTCCAGACTGACTTCCATAGTGGCTTAACCAGTTTGCATTCCCACCAACAGTGGGTTAGTGTTCCTTTTTCCCCACATCCTCTCCAGCATCTGTTGTTGGTAGATTTCTGAATGTGAGCCATTCTAACTGGGGTGAGGTAGAACCTCATTGTGGTTTTGATTTGCATTTCCCTGATTGCTAGTGATCTTGAACATTTTTTCATGTGTCTGTTGGCCATTTGGATTTCCTCTTTTGAAAAATGTCTATTGAGGTCCTTGGCCCATCTCTTAAGAGGTTGTTTGTTTTGATATTGTGGAGTTTCTTTATTTCTTAGTAGATTCTGGGATCAACCCTTTATCTATTGCGCAGTTCGCAAATATATTTTCCCATTCTGTCGGTTGCCTCTTCACTTTCTTGACTGTTTCTTTGAAGTACAGAAACTTCTCAATTTGATGCAATCCCAAATGTTAATTTTGGCTTTGACTGCCTGTGCCTCTGGGGTCTTTTCCAAGAAGTCATTGCCGGTACCAATATATTGCAGGGTTTCTCCAGTGCTCTCTAATTATTTGATGGTTTCAGGTCATAGATTTAAGTTTTAATCCATGTTGAGTGAATTTTTGTGTAAGTTGAAAGGTAGGGGTCTTGCTTCATGATTCTGCATGTGAAAATCCAATTTTCCCAGCACCATTTATTGAATAGAATGTCCTTACTCCAGGGATTGGTTTTGGATCCTTGATCAAATATAAGTTGGTAGTAGATGTTTGGATTGATTTCTGGTGTTTCAATTCTGTTCCATTGGTCTATCCATCTGTTTCTGTACCAGTACCATGCTGTTTTGATAACAACTGCCCTCTAGTAGTATGTCCTGAAATCTAGTATTGTGATGCCTCTGGCTTTGTTTTTGTTGTACAAGATTACTTTAGCTACTCGTGGTCTCCTGTGTCTCCATATGAATTTCAGCATCATTTTTTCCAGATCTGAGAAGAAGGTCTTCGGTATTTTGATTGGTATTGCATTGAATCTGTAAATTGCTTGTGGGAGAATGGGCATTTGATGATGTTGATTCTTCCAATCCATGAGCATGGAAGATTTCTCCATTTTTTGGTATCCTCTCCTCTTTCTTTCTGTAATTTTGTAATTTTCATCATAGAGATCCTTAACGTCCTTGGTTAAGTTTATTCCAAGGTATTTGATTGTTTTTGTAGCTATTGTGAATGGGATTGATCTTAGAAGTTCTTCCTCAGCCATGGCATTGCCTGTGTATACAAAGGCTGTTGATTTTTGTGCATTGAT